TACATTCAATTAAATTTCATTGAGAATTACCTTTACTTCTCACAAGACGTGGGATCTTTTGCACTTAAAATTTAAAGATGCATGTGAAGTCTACACAAACCTACCCACTTTTTCTCTGAAAGCTAACACACTAATGCCCCTAACTGAATTCTCCTGAGAAGCTGCATTTTTCTAAGTAAGAAAAATCAACTGAAGACAACTTTTAAATATGTCTAACCAAGACTGCAATATTCAATCAAGTTAATGTTATCAGTGTGGTGATTATTTGAATATCTTTGATGTCAGAGACATGCCTCAGAATTTCAAAATTCACTTCACTTTGAAATCAAAGTATACATGAGTTTTTCCTACTGTAATATAAAATATATATATTAAATTTTTATCAAAAAATTGAACACACAAAAGGAAAGTACAAACTTTACCAAGGATTTTGATAAAAACTTAATTTGTTTTCAAATATCTTATTATCTATGAAATATATAAAACATAAGCTAACTGTGAATGTGGTATATATTTGACTATTTGTATGGCAAAAGACTGCTGGTATACATTAGCATGTCCATTTTTAAAAGGCAGAAGTATGTATTATAATTTTTAAAAATTGAACCAGGATTTGGAAACCTATGTTTTAGCCTCAATCCTGCTTTTGTCTACTAGCTATGCCACTTGTTTAACTTTTCTCTTTTTTTTCTGTGAAGAACATCTTTTTTTATTTTTATTTTTTATTGAAATATAGTTGACATAAAACTTTTTTCTCTTTTAAACTGAGAATAATATGTTTCCTACCTAGTTTGTTGAACATAGAAAGGTAGTTTTAAACCAAATCTATAAAAACATATGAAGCATAATTTCATTATTTAACTGTAAGTTCCTTAGGGGTCATAAACAGTTTCACTCACTAAATATTTGTTATCCAATATATGGCTTTCTCTCTTTTCTTCAAATTGTCACACTCTTGGACTCTTACTTTATTATCATATTTTAAACTATTCTAGCTGAAGCTTTTGAGGGAAATGACATTGAATTCAATACTTAAAAGCACATGTTTGATGTCTTATGTGTACCTTTTGACTTTGAATGGTATCATGTGAAGAGTGAGGAATGGAAGCAAAGAATGCAACAAAAAATAACTTATTCCATAAATGAATGTGCCAGAAAAATAGATATTTTACTGTTAGGATCGTTATTATCATTCCAGGCTCTAGTGTAGTAGAGGATCTGGGATATTTATTATATGAATGAATGTCTCTATCTTTGCAAGAAAAAAAATAATTTCTATTCTTCTTATACCTAATTATTTGCCATGGAGTTATTCTTACCACAAATTTTTCTCTGTCCCCACGTAATTGCTTTTCCCGGGGTTTCTAAATTAGGATTTGTTGCCATTTTATCAAATGTAGGACCTATAGTCATCCCTTAACTTGTTTGGCAAGTTCAGTGGTAACACTTACTTCTTCTCCTTAATCAGGAGGTGAGATTTCCAGAAGCATCTCAAAGACAGAGGGACAAGGCTTAGAGAATTAAAAAAAAAGGCATTGTCCTTGCAAAGAGTGATGTAAGAGGCAAGGAAGTTAAGAGACAAAACTGAACAAATGAGTTTGGGGAGAAAGCTAGCCTTTTATAGTGTAAAAGGGAACAGAAGTACTTTCGGCCAGCCTAATGAAGGGTTTTGAAATTGAGGGTCCTTAGAGGAAACCTGGAATTAGAACAAGTTAAAAAAGTAAAGAATGTAGGGAGTGAATGGAGAGGGCTTGTTTGTCTAGAGTTGGTGCCTTAATAGAAAAATGGCAGACCAGCAGCAATGCTACAGCTGATAAATTGGCATGTATAAGAATGGGGACAGAAAAGCACAGTGCTAATGACAGTTAGAGATTTTTTTTTTTTAAAGGAGCACATGAACTAATCCAAAAGAGTTACTTAAAATTACAGTATGCTCTTTTTTCTCTCTCTCTCAGAATTGTTTAAAGAGAAGAGGGAGAGGAAAAGGGAAGGTGTAATTTATAGGATGTACCTTAGGAACTATTATTAGAAGAATAAAAAAGAGAACTACTGGCAAATGTAAGTGCATTAGAAATGCAGTAATTAAAAGGTTCTACAAGAAAAAAGGAAAATCAGAGCTAACAGTCTTCTATTAACCTACTGTGATTTATAACTCACATTCTACTTTTTTCTCTTAGTACAAGTTCTCTGTGACTGTGTAAAATATCCACATGCAATTTTCTGTTGTGGTAACCTATATTGGTTGTAGTGAGTGGATTTTAATTTGTTTTTAATGTGCCTCTAGTTCATCAGCTTCAACTTCAGGGGAAAATTTCTCTGTGCTTCCAATAGCACCCAGTGTTGCTACTCTGTATTTGCAACTGATGTTCATTTTGGTAATACAACAGTTATCCGTAAATAAGAAGAAACAATGAAATAGGTTACAATATTGCAGGAAAGGACAAGGATAGATGTAACTGGTGATGAAGTATATTTATTCTGGGAAAACTGAGATGGTATGAAATGTTGAGAAGTGGGAAAAGATACATTAAAGATAAATCTAGAAAATAAAGTGAGAATAAGATAAACGCAAGGAGTGTGATGAATCATTTCTTAAGGAAATTAAACTAAATTCCTGATGGATGGTTAAGCATTCTCTGAACATATGAAAGCACTTGTGTTTCTAAATGTTAAACTAAGATATGCTCAAAATTTCATGAGAAATCAATACCTATTAAGATGCTGAGCATATTTGGCAATGTTCTAAACACTACGAGCATTATCCCATTTAAAATACTTCTAAATTATATTAGTAGGAACTAATACATTTCCTATGAAAACCTGATGTACAGAGATATGAAGAAACTTGCCCAAAGTCACACAAGTAGTTAAGTGGCAGAGATTTCAAATACAGGTTGAGTTTGGTTTCATACACAGGTTGACTCCTGAGTCAGGCACTGGTAGTTACTATACCCTCTGTGTCCAAGAGAACCATAAAGATAAACTATTACTGTTGCAGCTGAAATTTTTACAAGGAAACCACTAATGGAATTTAAGTACTTCATTGGAGTAGTACACCTAGCACATGTTGCTAACAAAGATCTTCATGTTCTCTGTGCCAAGGCTGAAGATGATCTCTCCTAGCCTTACTGCAGGGCACCAAATGCTCAAAGATGATGTCTCAAAGTGCCTAACTTATACAGGGGCATTGATGAAAATAGAGCAGAAGAGGGACAAAAAAAGAACAACCAGATGTCCCTACTTAGGTTCTTCCTTCTTTTGCCGTGTATGCTTTCTAAAATGTCCTGGTTCCAGCTCAAATTAAATCACATGAAATTTTGTTTGAAGATTATTTTGTGTGCTACTTGAGAAATGATAATGTTTCATGAATGTTTTTATGTTATCTACAATAGCCCTTGCACCTCATCTGTCCCAAGGACCTCATGGAAAATAATTTGAGAACAAACCAAAGTACTTTAGCACCTTAATCATTTAGCACTCAGTTGATAACAAAAAGCGCAGGGATGGATGACTGCAGTCACCCTGTCATTTTGGAGGGGAAACATCTCAGAAGAGAGTAAACATGATAGCCTTTTTATCTTGATAACTAAAGGCATCATTTCCTTGTAATCCTTGGCTATTGGAGAATGAAAGACCTAATATGACTGTAGGAAGAGAAGATTTTTATATTAGCAGCAGAAATAGTTTAACATTTTAGCAATATGAAATGTACAAAGTACATAAGCAGATATAATCTCTTTTGATCTAATTCCCTGAGAGGCAGGTAACTGTGTATCCTTGGAAAAGTTGCTTGTTCTTTCTTTTTTTTTTTTTTAAGATTTTATTTATTCATGAGAGACAGAGAGAGAGAGAGAGAGAGAGGCAGAGGGAGAAGCAGGCTCCCAAGGAGCAGGGAGCCCGATGCGGAACCCGATTCCAGGACTCTGGGATCCTGACCTGAGCCGAAGGCAGACGTTTAACCATCTGAGCCACCCAGGCGCCCCAGTTGCTTGTTCTTTCTTAAACATCAGCTTTCTCAATTGTAAAATGAGAAAAACAATGATTCTCCTTAGGCAAGTTACTTAACCCCTCTGTTCCTCAGTTTCTTCATTTGTAACATGAAATGATAGGATGAGGTTGAAATGTAATTCTGCTGATATTCAACTGTTTTTTCACCTATAGAAATGGCAGTTTCTTATGCTTCAACCTAATATTTGTAGTGTTGTTGTGAAGATGAATACACTTAAAACAGGACCAAGATCTTAGTACACACATTTTATAAATATGATCTCAATTCATTCTTATAATAGCCCTATGACAGATAATTGGGTTCCCCCTTTGAATATAAATTTATGTGGAAAAAAATATACTATTGATGGATTTATAAAGGGGGGGATGTAGCTTTACAGCAAATACCACTGCAACCTAACACTTTGTCCTGTGCTTTCTAGGCTGCTCAGTGTATGTATATTGTATCAGCCAGCTAACAAGGTCTCTGAGCTGCTTTTCCCTTCCATCCAAATTTGCCATCCACTGAATACTTCACTAGTTTTGTAGTTGAGGTTTTAACAAATACTCATGTGACTTTGTTTCGCTTATAAAATGGCTAAGGCCAAAAAAATGAGTATTCTTTTTTTTAAGATTTTATTTATTTATTTGACAGAGACACAACGAGGGAGAGAACATAAGCAGGGGGAGTGGGAGAGGGAGAAGCAGGCTTCCCACTGAGCAGGATCCCAGGACCCTGGGACCATGACCTGAGCCAAAGGCAGATGTTTAATGACTGAGCCACCCAGGCGCCCCAAAAATGATTATTCTTAGGCTCATCAATTTAGATAGGGGTGTAAAAGCATGTCAGTATGTCAGAAGAAATTTTTTAGTGGATTCAAGTACTGCTTGGTTAAAAAAATAAAGTAAATTATAATATAATGCACAGGAAGAAATAAAATCAAAGTTCAGAGTTATTTGTATGTTCTGACTATTTTGTGGAAAGTTTTTCCATTTTGGTTTTGATTTTGAAAATACCAATCATAGAACATATACTAAAATTGGAATGATAGAGAGACAATTAGCATGGCCTCTGCACAAAGGATGCCATGCAAATTTGTGAAGTGTTCCATATAAAAAAATAAAAATAAAATAAATAAAATAAAATACCAATTGTAAGGTCCTTGCCAGTGAACATTGCGCCTTTACAAATATGTGTATATAATATGTATACTAAACTGGTACACATTAAAAAGGAATAATTCATTAAAATTGAAAATATAGGATGCTAAATATTATGGAGGCAAAATGAGTAAAAGAAATACATTTTTGAAACTGTTTAATCTGTATTTTATAAAATGCCTTTGAAATGAACTAGGAAAATCACATGCATATTTTGTAAAGTATTCTCTACTGTGAATAAATGTACTATATAAAAGCCAAGGTATTATTGTGGTTAACAAAACTTATTGGATTCTTTTTTTCAATAATTTAAATAATACAATAGTTATTTTCGGTCTCCTTCTCTCTGAGAATGAGTAAACTAATTCACCCTTGTACATTATTATTATTTATTTGAGAAATAATATAGAATGTATCAGGATTTTTTCCATAAAATGTATTTTTGCACATACGCAAAGTCTAAATGATTGAGATGTAGACGTCTTTTGTGAACTCTATGAAAAAAATAAAGATCAAAAGAGAAATGTAATGTAGCTATTTCTCCTATCCTCATTTTTTCTCAAATATAATCATTTGAGAGGATTATTGTAATTTTTGAAAGGATCGAAACTAACAGAACAGTAATCTTAGTGAATAGGAATTTTAATAATTAAGTATTCAACATATTCTCTTATTTGACTGAAAAATAATTTTTCTTTTAGTACTGTATGTGTGTGTATAGTGGGAGAAAGTGTGTGTGTCAAAACATATGAGGCTGGTATTTTTTTATTGGTTTTGTTTGTTTTAACTCTAGGATTTTGTTTCTAAATGGTGACTTTAGACACAAACTGACATCATCTTCATTTTGCCAAAGAGAAGACTGGAGATAAGAAAGTAGGATTTGTTTGCCCAAAGTTACCTAAAAAGAACTAGGAAGAGTTCAAATCAGGTCTCAAAATTCCTGTCCAGTGATCTTTCTTTTACATATACATGCCACTGACTTCTATTTACTAATCTATCCTAGAATTTAATCACTTTCATTTTCTTATTTTTCTTTCTGTTAAACTGATATTATCAATTCTTTACATTTATAACAGTACCACTGGAGTAGACAGAAATCTATTGAGCTAAGGAATAAGACACCAAATTTTGTTTGAGAATAATAGAAGGGTTTTGACCCATATCCATCATTTAAATTATTAAAGTAGAGTCACCGTTTGTGGGAGTTAGTAAAACATACATATCTGGAAAGTAGCTAATGAATAATAGAAAGATTTACAGATTTTTGTCTTTCTCAATCATTTCATTTTCCATTCATTCTTGTTCAGGATCCATAAGCTCTATCAGCATACTATTTGAAGTAGAATTCAGCTACTGTGAAAATATTTTTTAACAAAAATAGCTTTTAAACGTCACGAAGATATCATAACTCATGTAGAAAACCTAAGCAATATACGGAAGTTTCTTTTTTAATTTAAAAATCCACTCAAACTGCTTCCCCAAATAACTCTTTCCCTTTTACCTTTCCAATTTGCCATCTTGATTAATATCAGCCCAGTCTATTCAAAATGATTTAGATACAACTAAGAGTTTATTATAAATTTGACCCAAACATATTAAAGAAAACCAGCAAACAAATATGAGAACAATGTATTTCTCATCTTGAGAAAGAGAATTGGATAAATGACAAACTGATGGCAAGGAAAAACTAAACTAGATATCTGTCTAAGGCAGCTCCCCTAGCTTTCTTTATTTTTCTTCTTAGCACTTATAATACCTGGAATAGCACATACTGACTGTTTATTATCTTTTTTCCCCTCGCTAAGATGCTAAACTCCATCAAAACAGGAACTTCAATAGATTTTCTTAAACAGTGCCTGACACATATAGATGCTTCCTAAATATTTGTAGAATGAATAAATAAACTAGAAATTGGTTGTTTGGGGAATATAGTTTTATGGTTAACAGAAAAAAGCAATATTTGTTAAAAATATTTCTAACATGTCTATAATGAGCATGGCAGTATTTAGATTGTCATTGAGTTTCATATTCCCTTTCAGGGTCATAATTCTGAATATCACATCTTATTATATAGTATAATATATTAGTCATGTGAATTACAGTAAAATCCATACTGACTTTATGACTGAACTTGTTTGGAATAAATCTTCAATTTGGATGTGATTTCTTATAATTGGCCAATTTCCCTGAAAAGCAAGTAAGTAAAATATATTGATTAATTGAGAACTGCAGTTAATTGGGTTTTTACTAAAATTTATTTATGCTGGCACAGAGTAGGTACTTAATAAATATTTGTCAAATATGTGAAGTCTAGTTAGTTAAAGTAGACTTGTTATTTTGTTTCTTGTTACTCAATGAATAAAAAGAGAACTTTTCAATCAAATATGTATTATGCAATGGCATTAGAATCCACACAGCAAACAAATAAGCAATTTAGAAGTATGACAAGTTCTTCTCGTTCTCTTTTTTTCCAACTTCCTTTGCATCTTCCCTTCTCTTATCTTTCTCTCCCGAACAATTTAGTCCCAAACTCGTTATGGGGACAAGTAAGGTTAGCATTCATAGAGAGTATAGGTGGGGAGAGCCTCAGCAGCATGAAGAGCAATGTTGGAGCTCAAGAAGGATGAGAAGAGCATCTGGTAGGGGGAGGGAGGACTGGGATGTTTAGCAGCAATAGGATATTGGTTATACATGAGGAAATAGATAAAATAAATAAATATATTAAGGATAATTGGGAGATAGGGTTTTCACTGTTGGAGAAAGTAGTTATAAATATGAAAAGAAAGAAACTATGTTGGATCCTGTGGTGTTGGTTTAAAAATGGATATATCGGGCTCCTGGGTGGCTCAGTTGTTAAGCGTCTGCCTTCGGCTCAAGTCATGATCCCAGGGTCCTGGGATCGAGTCCCACATCGGGCTCCCTGCTCCACGGAAAGTCTGCTTCTCCCTCTCCCACTCCCCCTGCTTGTGTTCCTGCTCTCACTGTCTCTCTCTCTCTGTCAAATAAATAAATAAAATCTTTAAAAAAATAAAAAAATAAATAAAAATGGATATATCAGTGTGAACTCCTAGTGTGTGGGTATAGATATAAGATATATGTGTATATGTGTATATATGTAAAATAGATAGATAAATAGATAGATGAATTTTTCCTACATACATTTCCTTAGTTTCAAATCCTGGGAACAATGACACACCCAAAACAATGGGCACATCTACCTCCCAAATCTTGGTTTCTAAATACCATTTCTGAATAAAAGAATTTAGGACTGCTTGGAGAAGTAGCTGTTTGCAGAGCTGGGGCATGAAAAAGACGAAAAGAGCCTCTCTTATTGTGGCAAAAATATGGAAGTACTCAAAACAATGCCAGAGACATGTCAAAGAAAGACGTCAGATTAAAGAGGATCACACTGCCCATATCTGAGACTATTGGAAGATCAAAGTGAACAATAATAACAGCAGATTATAACCTATTGGATAAAATGGATATCCATGAGTTCATATTGATATAAGTAAATCAATAAGTTGAAAGTTAATGTACTTCTCCACAATATACTTACAAAAAAATATTTTACAGTGATCGCCTTAATCATGAGTTAATACTAACATCTCAAGTAATGTACCAAATGATAGGATACTATGAGATGTACACAAGATCACTTTCACGATTCTTCAAAGACAGATAATTTAAATCCAGTAATAAGAAAGCAGAAGATAAACCTCAAACAAGGAGCATCTTGCAAAATAACTAAATTGTAATTTTTTAAATGTCAAATCCATGAAAATAATGGGGAAAATTGAGGAAGTCTAGATTAAAAGAGACTAAAGAGGCATGGGGCACCTGGGTGGCTCAGTCGTTAAGCGCCTGCCTTCAGCTCAGGTCATAATCCCAGAGTCCTGGGATCGAGCCCCACATCGGGCTCCCTGCTCAGTGGGAAGCCTGCTTCTCCCTCTCCCACTCCCCCTGCTTGTGTTCCTGCTCTCGCTATCTCTCTCTGTCAAATAAATAAATAAAATCTTAAAAAAAATAAAAGAGACTAAAGAGGCATATTAATGAAACGCACTGCTTGATTCAGGACTGGATCCTTTTGCTATCAAGAGTATTGTTGAAACAAGCAGCAAAACTTAAATGCAGTCTGAGGATTATATGGTAGTGGTGTATCAATTTTCTGAATCTGGTGGCTGTATTTCATTTAAAAGAGAAATGTCCTTATTTGTGGGGAAAATATGTTCAAGTATTCAGTTGTTATTACTCTCAGATCATTCAGGAACAATATTATTTGTTCTGCAGTTGCAACATTTTTGTGATTTGGAATTGTTTCAAAGTAAGAAAATAACTTTTAAAAAATCCAAATTCAACATCTCCCCTGAAATTTTGTCATAATCCTAAAATAATGTTCAGGTTATAGAAAAGTCATTTATATTTTATGAATTTGTAAAATACAATCTGAGGTATAGAATGAAGCCCCCCCCCTTTAAAAATAAAGTAGAACGATAATAAAAAAAGAACAATATGCTCTGCGGGGGTTCCAGTGGTAACAATTAAGACTTCTCAGATGTTTGGTACTAAGGGCTGTAGGGATGCTTTCAGTTTTCTTTTGCTTTAAAGGCCTTTTTACATACTTTAGTAGGAAGGGGCCAAATCTCTATAGTAGGTCTTAAAACATCAATGAATATTATCTAAAAGGGAAATTATGAAGGGCACCTGGGTGGCTCGTTTGGTTAAGCATATGCCTTTGGTCAGGTCGTGATCCCAGGGTCCTGGGGTCGAGCCCCATTTCGGGCTCTCTGCTCTGCGGGGAGCCTGCTTCTCCCTCTCCCTCTGCTTGTGCTCTCTCTCTCTGTCAAATAAATAAATAAAAAATCTTTAAAAAAAAAGAAAACTATGATGCATCCTGAGGGGCAGAAAACTTAGTAGAAATAATATGTGGATAGATAACATTTTTATATTTACTTAC